ACAGCACTTAACATAATAACACATGACTACTGTCATCTAGTGGCTTGATGGCCCCACTTACTCGCCTGAAGGGCTAAGTGCTGGCTGTTAGCGCTGACCCTCCTTATTCAGCAGACCAGCCTAGACGTCCTCCTGTGGGCAGGGGTATCTGAGTATTGTATGGTATCTCAGTGTCTAGGATCTGGACTAACATCACCTCCATTATCACTTCCTACAAGTCTCAAGGCCAGCCAGGTTCAATGAGAGGAGAATTAGCCACATCTCTTGGTAGAAGTTGCTGCAAAGCATCATGGCCCTGGTTTCAATCTTCCCCCAGGGAGGCTCTGGACCAGGCCATTGAGGAGTTCACCCTCTCCTGTGCTGGCTACTGTGTGGCCACCTACGTCCTGGGCATCGGTGATCGGCACAGTGACAATATCATGATCCGTGAAAGTGGGCAGGTAGGTTGGGCGTGGGCAGCCTGTGGGCCTCTGTCTGCCTGGCCCCTGATTCCCTGAGTCCCAACTGCGCCCCACCCCTGGAGTCTTGGCAGTTCCCCTTCTTTACACCCCTCCCTCCTCTGCCTTTGCCCCCACCTTTCTCTCTTAGCTGTTCCACATTGATTTTGGCCACTTTCTGGGCAATTTCAAGACCAAGTTTGGAATCAACCGTGAGCGAGTTCCCTTCATCCTTACCTATGACTTTGTCCATGTGATTCAGCAGGGCAAGACGAACAACAGTGAGAAGTTTGAAAGGTGAGGGTGCCTCCGGGTCTCTGGGAACTCACCTGGTCCCCATGGTCTCAGGGAGGAAGCAGGGACCAGGAATTGGCCCTCAGCCCCACTCTGGGCCCCACCCCAGGCTGCTGAATGATTTGGAGCATGCACCTCACCCTGACCCCCAGCTCCAGTGCCCAGCTGGGCTGGTGAGGTGTGCTTCTAGGTGGGGTGCATGCAGCAGGGGACCACCTGTGGCGAGGGGGGGCTGTCATTTAAAGGCATCAGGGGCTTTGTGCTCGCGGCCTGTTTCCAGGCCAGGGCTGGTGCTCTGGGGCCTTGCCACAGTCTCTGGCTTCACTCGGGCAGGTTCCGTGGCTACTGTGAGCGTGCCTACACCATCCTGCGGCGCCATGGGCTGCTCTTCCTCCACCTCTTCGCCCTCATGAGGGCAGCGGGCCTGCCTGAACTCAGCTGCTCCAAAGACATCCAGTATCTCAAGGTGAAGCTGGAAGACCACTCTGGGCGGGACACCAGGTGTAGGTGGGCAAGGCTTCCTTCTGAGGGCCGGAACATGGAGGATCCCTGGGTCGTTCCTAACTCAGGCATCGCTCATGCCATCCTTGGGGACAGTAGCCAGAGCAGGCTGCTGCGGACATGCTCTGTGGCCTTGGTCAACCCATGACCCTCTGGGACCCGCCGGTGTTTGAGTAGTAGGATGAGGACTGGGTTTAGGTAGTGCTCTTGCATCATTGAAGCTCGGGTGGGGAGTGAGGCTGGCCCAACCAGGAATGCTGTTGCCACTAGTTCCTCCCAGAGCTAATCTTCACTGGAGGCCAAGCTGTCACTGTGGGCTGGCACCCTTACTTTGTTATGTGGGTCACCCTGACCTGCCCCGATTTTAGACTGGCTGTAGCTCAACTCTGATGGACTTTTTTGAGGAGGGAATTGAGAATCCCATGGGCAGGGCTGTGTTCCTGAGCCAGCCCCTGTCTCTGTCCTGTTAACGCTGGCTCTGATGCTCTGCTCTTAGGACTCCTTGGCACTGGGAAAAACGGAAGAGGAGGCGCTCAAGCACTTCCGGGTCAAGTTTAACGAAGCCCTTCGGGAGAGCTGGAAAACCAAAGTGAACTGGCTGGCCCACAACGTGGCCAAGGACAACAGGCAGTAGCCCCTCTGGCCCCGTCCTGGAGACTCCCGATTCCGGTGCCTGGAGCAGAGGCGGCTTGGTCCTGAGACCCTGAACTAACTGCACCTCATGGAAGAGAACCTACACAATTGCCTTTGTTTACACTTATGGTTATTTATTAATGATTTGAAACGCTGAAGGGACTAAACAGCCATAAAAGGAAAGCAGCCTTTGAGCCTGGTGGGGAGGGATGTGGGCGCCCGGCTGCCCCTCCATGGAGGGTCACAGCCCCCGTCTTCCAGCTGGTGATCTGGGTCCAGCCACTCTTCCTCTCCTGGGAGCTGTCTGGCTTCAGGGGTGTCGGTTCCAGTGGTCACCTGGTGCCTATTGTCCAGAGGCGCCCCAGTCCTCGCCCTCCCCCTAACACCCGTTCCAGCCCTGTGCGTCCCCACTGTGATTTGGAGTGCCCCCGAGGACTCCCAGTGCCCTCGAGATTCAGGGATGCTGCACTTTGCTATTACAGTAACTCTTGGGCCCAAGGATCCTCTCTTCTCTGCTGTAAAGCCATGTTGCATGTGGTAAGAAATCTGGCCAAACTCCTGAACCGCCCTCCGAGGTCAGGGAAAGTTGACTGGCCTCCACAAAGTATTATATATCTATATGGGTCCCCAAGACGTATTTGAAAATGTTTCTTGAAAGAGCTGAGCTTGCTTTGGCTCACCCTGGCTCCCGAGTCCTCGGGGAAGCAGGTGGAGGAAACTCTGTGCAATACTGCAGGCCTGCCTCGGAAAGCAGGTCTTCGTTACGGTACGGTACGGGGCCTGAGCTCTCTCACAACTGTCACTTTTGAAAACCAGCTGAGTCGGTACCAGAAGTGAGAGGAGCCTGGGCCATGGCAGAGTCTTTATCTGTGATTACTTGAGTTAGCCTTTCCGCTGATCATCCAGTCCCTAACTGTCTGAATGCAGGAGCTTTAAAAGCGCAGACTTTGAGCCTCTTCCCACTTCTGAAAACGAGGGGCTCTGGAGCCCACAGTTGATCCTGACGTGCTTAGCAGCAAACCTGGGACCAATCAGGCTCCCACACTGACCTGCTGAGACTTGGCAGGCCAAGGAACTGCCCCCTTTGTAGTCAAGGGCTGGTGGGTCTTAGAGCCCAAATGTCAACTGTGGGTCTTATTTGTGAGGGGCAGGAGGTGGTTGGTGCCTCAGTCTGTGCCACTCCACACACCTGGCTCATTGGAATTCCACACCATGTGAATCCTCTCCACCTGGCCTATTTGGCATCAGGAAGGCCAGGCATCCTTGTGTGTGTGTGTATATATATATTCTGTTATTTATTGAAGTGGGTTCGCATGCTCCAGGTGTGAGCAGCATACACAGCTATTCCTGGGTTGGGTGTGTAGTCTGTGTGCCCACTGAGAAGATAACCTATTTTTTTAAATCCCTCACTGTTTCTGTATGGACAGAACTGATGTAGGCCAAGACCAGCAGCACTCTGTGAAACCTTGGATTGAGAGGTGAACGCAGATTAAAAAAGAAAAAACAAACTTGTTTTGGTTCAATGTTTCTGCTCTAAAGCAATATTGGGGGCAGGGGGTGAGGATAGCAGGGACAAACAGACAAGACAGAAAACAATGCCTCCTGGCATGGAGTTAGAATCAGAACTTTATTGTAGTGGATACACTTTCTGACCTAGCATTAATATACACATCACGAGTGACGCCTGTGGCGGCTACAGACAGCGTGGCCCCTCTCCGTGCTGGGTCTAGACAGAGCAGCTACAGCGGTGGGTATGGAGGATGGCTACACGGGGCCTTGGGGGACTGTCCTGTTTTCTTAAAGCTACCAGTTAGGACGACAGGACAGTATTCAACCCCATCCCTCAGCCCCATGTTAGAAATTTAAAATTCTATGTTTAAATTTTTAAAAAAGTGGCTGTGTGGCTTTTTAGTCTTCACTGTTTTCTCTCCTTTCCCTCTTTATCACTGAGTATGGCTGTGATGGCCCGGGGTGGGGTGACCCCGGGAGGTGGGAAGGGACAGCGGCTGTTGGGGAAGATCTAGCCGCTGGCTGTTGGCTGGGGAGAGCCCAGCAGCCCATCTGCTCCTCGGCCGTCCTGAGTCCGGCTCGCTCAGGCCTGCTGCTGTCCCCAGGCCAAGTGCCTAAACAGCGCGATGGCTGTCAGTTTGTGTCATCTATACATCTGTATCATCGCCAGCAGGAGAAAATACATTTATTAAGTATAAACAACAAGGCTGCACAGGAGTCGCCAGGGGGACTGTACAAGGAGCGGAGAGTAGCCCAGCGACCCCAGCAACAACTCCCACCCACCGCCGGCCAGATGAGAACCAAGTGCAGTTCAGAAGACGCCTGGCCCTGTTCCCGGGCCCTCAGGCCAGTCTCCTGGAACAGCAAGGCGAGGAGGACAAACCGACCCGCGTTCGAGACCTGAGGACCAGACTGAGCAGGTGTGTGCACGTTGGCCTGTGGGCCCAGGGCCCAGGCAGCTTCTCTTGTTCTGGAGGGGTGGGTGGGCTGGTTGCAACAGCAAGCCCATGAAGGCTACATCAGTAATCAATTTAATTTTCAAATCCAGTCCCTGATTACACTAGCACAAAGGACACAACAGAATCCCAATTTATTTACAAAATATTAAAAAGTCAGTTAATCATCTACATTATTAACCCCATTCTGCCATTTTATACATGCACTAGTTTGGAAAAAATAAAGACTTTTTTTAAAAAAAAAAAACCAAAAAATCCAACACCCCAAAAATGGTTACCAGGTGGGAGTGAGCAGCGTTACCCTTGGTCAGCAAGTCCGTCACTGAGGCCCGTGAAGGTGCGAGCGGCCAGGAGGGGCCAGTGGATGGACCCCCATGTGCACATGTCCGGGCGCCCCGGTCACTGCATGAGTGAGCGTGATGACGGCGGAGGGTCTGGGGTGGCGCCTCGTGTGACTTAGATGAGGTCCAGGCAGAGGGAGGGGAGCCTAAGTCCTATACACCAAGCAGGGGTGGACGACCGGCACCAGGGAGGGTCTGCAGACCTACTGGCCAAATGACTTTGTACATCGTGGATCCTTGGGAGGGGTGGGTAGGTGGGCGGGGGGCGGCAGAGTCTTCGGAAGCAGACAAGAGGGTGGCTGAGGAGTGGCTGCTGCCCAGCCGTGGGGTCAGTAGGTGAGGGTAGAGTCGTCCCACTCTAGCTGCTGCTGCCTGCTGGCGCCCGGCTGGTCCCCATGACCCCCCTCCTCCTCCTCGCTGCTCTCCGACTCAGCACTGGTGATGTCGTCGTCCTCCTCGCCCTCCTCGCTTTCCTCCTCTTCCTCCTCCTCCTCTTCCTCCTCGCTGCTGTGCTGGTCCTCGTAAGTCTGACAGAGACGACTGGGTGAGTCCAGCCCTCCGCCCCCCACACCGGCCTGCACCCCATCCACCCTACACTCATTAGGGGCATGGACTGCATCGGAAGTGACTTTGTCAGAGTCAAAAAAACCAAAGCTCTGGGGAGAACTCCAACAGGGAGCCCCAATTTCCCCATCAAGACACACATCTCATATGGGCAGACACCTCACAGGACAGAGAGTGCTGCACAGGAGACCCCAGTTCTGTTGTGAGCCCCACTTCTACTCATGTGCTACAATGTGCCTCAGAGGTCAGACGCTTGGCTGCTAACTGAAAGGTCAGTGGTTCAAAACTACCAGCTACTCTGAGGGGGCAAGGGGAAGAGGTTGTAAACTGCTTCCATGATAACAGTCTCTAGGGCAGACCCTATATACTCTGTCATAAAGGGTCGCTACGAGTCGGAACCCACATGCATTATAATAAGGAGCCCATCTGAAAGAGAGGATGCCTGCCTCATAAAGGGGTCACAGAATAGTAGAGACATGGTGGGCGGGGACCACGCTTGAACAACAGGCCTGTCTGCAGTCAGGCTGGCTTAGTTCAGGATAGTTGCCCATCACTAGGCTGTTCGCCCCTTCCTACCTCCATGGGGTTCACGGTAATGGTCAAGGCAGAGTCGTCCCAGTCCATCTCATTCTCCTTCCCTGTGTCCTGGTCTCTCATGGTTCGTTGGTGAGCTGCCCGGATCCGGAACACTCCCAGGATGATCATGAAAACCAAGAAGCTGACGCACACGACGATCACTACAGTGGCAGTGCTGGGGACAACTGCAGGGAGGACAGGGGGCGTGTGGGGGCCATGCGCATAACCCAGCCACACAGGCCAGTGTGCCCTGACACCCCGTGAGTGACTACACGAGGCCAAGCTGGGATGCTCAGGGTGGGAGAAACCTTAGAAAGTGCTCAGACCAGGTGTCGCTGGTTCTGTCACTGCCTGCTGTGACCCAGCTAACTCTACGTGCCCTCTGCAGGTGCTTAGCTCTCCTGTGTGTGATGTGGATAGGTGACGGCTGGCTCACTGCCAGAGGATGACTGGTTGACAGTGAGGTGCTCCCTGTGGGCACCTTCCTGCCCTCCCCCTGCAGAGGAGCAGGGAAGGGGGAAGTGAAGGGGTGGGCAGTGTCCGCTCTGACCTAAGTGTCAGAGGGCATTCCTACCTGCAAAGGGATGGGGACTGGCCAGGTTGTGCCCCGACAGGTCAACGAAGGAGCGGTGCTCGGGCTGCACAAACTGCGGCTGCGCGGCCATGTGGTTGGCGTGCTCCACAGGGTTGGCTGTGTGGATCACATTCACCTGCACCGGAAAGAGAACGAGGATTACTGGCCAAAGGACAAAAAGGGAAACTGACTGTTGACAAAGACAAGTGCCACTTGCAGCTGGTCTGTAAACTCTGGCACTGTCTGTAATGAGAGAAGGACGGAAATGGACAAGCAGCAAGTGGAAAATTTCCGTAATAAAATGATGCTGCTACGACATCCAAGAAACCCATTGCTTTTCCAGTAACATCCTTACAGTACAGCAGATGGCGGACAAAAAGACAACCCTGAATCTTTGCTATGGGGAATTCAAGAAGCCCTGGTAGAAATCATCGCCCTCTTTTCCTAAAAGCCACAGTCACGTAGCAGAGAGCACTTATTTGCTTTCAAATCGGTCACCTCCAGTGCAAACAAACACTCACTGTTTCTTGAGGGTGGAAAAGCTAGCCTTCTGCTGTGTTTCCAGTCACCACTGCTGGGCTAACTCTGGGTCATTTTCACAGGTTATAAAGGCCCTGAGTGACTAAGCAGGTCTGTGGGAGATTTCAGAACAAAGATTGGCTGCCCTCGGGCCACTGTGGCTTGAGTCACACAATCATCTCAGCAAATGTGCTCCTGCCATTGCTGGTCCCCAAGCCAGCATTCTAGCGGTGACCTTGTGTCAAAGACCACCTTTATTAAGAAGAGGATCACTGTTCTAACACGCTCACAAAGCACTGGCCTCCCCAGGTACTCGTCTGTGTGAACTTTCAAAACACAATCTAGTCCCCACCTCTGTCACTGAACTGCCACCTCTGAACCCCAGCCCGCCCTGCACAATTTGCAGCCTGAGGCCCCAGTCTCAACAGCTGGTACCAGGAGAGCTCTAAGACGTTGCCTGTGCCACCCTGCACTCACTTCCACTTTGAATTCATTGCTGACGTAGCGGCCATTCAGCTCCGAGCAGACGAGCTTGAACTTCCGGTCAAGCAAGGACCTGGTGTGCCAGTTGCGGTAGCGCAGAAGGTGCAGCGCCTCCTCATAGCTGGCCATGGTGTCTACACCTGTAGGGGATGGAGAGGCTGCTCAGGCAGGAACACAGGTGTGGACAGGGACAGAGACAAAGGCAGGCCAGACTCAGACACCTGGACTGGCTACGTCAGGATCACACAGTCTGACTTTCCAAAAGAAGAATGCTGTGGAGCATTTTTCCATCTGGAAGGGGGTGAGCTTTCATGAGCCTGAATCCTACCCCTTTATAAGGCCATGTCCTCATTTCCCACTACAGGAAGACTGACATCAGCTCCCCTGGGACACACTTAAGGCTTGAATATGGAAGGAGGAAGCTGGCTGAGTCTGCCCTCATGGTCCAGCCTGTTCTAGCCCTCTGGGGTGCCCTCACCCGTGAAAACCACGCCCAGGTCGGAGCTGCTCATCTCAATGCCCTTCTGCTGCAGGCGCGTCATGTCCACCTCGAGGCTCTCCTGTTCCTGGTTCAGCTCCTCACCCTCCACAGTCACCTCACACGTATCCAAGTCATGCACAATCTCTTCAGATACTACGGACTCTTGAACTGCAAAAAAGGGCAGAGAGAGAGATGTGTGTAGACCAGTATGGAGTCACACAATGTAGCAAAGACTGTTCACAACAGCTTATCCCCAGATCCACGCAACTGTGGGATGGGGGACCTTGTGTGTCCAGGAGTACACAACAGCAGAGCCTGATAGGTCCAGCCAAGGCCAGCTTGCACCACCAGACGGCAGAAGGTAGGAGAGCCCTGCAAAGGTATTATTTCTTCAGTCTTCTAGGCTAAATCTCAGACCCTGGCATCTAGCCAGAAAAGGATAAAATAGTCACAACAAGCCTGAGTCTGAAACAGACCTCAAATACAAGACAAACACTCAACTCCCGCCACCAATCCAAGAACTAAGTGGCTGTAATGAGGTTTCCAGCCTGTAGTCTCCAGCCAGGGAAAAGGGGTGGAGAGGAAGCCAGTCCCGTCTGGAGAGCTGTTACCTGTGGGGTCCTCATCTCCGTCCCGCTCAGGCTCTACTTCTCTCGTGATGGTGCTGATGATTCGAAGCTCAGGGAAGAGGAACACCCCTTCAGAGCTTTCAAATTCAGATGCTGCCCGAGCAAAATGGTGGATGCCACTCAGGCTGATTTTAGGCTCCTCCGGCTGCAGGACCATCACATAGCCGTCCACGGGGGGAATGGAGATGCATGGAGCCTCATTGAAACATCTGACAGCAAGAAACAGAGAAAGGGTAGGCAGGGATTTGAGAGCCAATTCCAAGACAGGGGACTACCTGCGGGGGGAGAGCTGGCCTCTCAGGACATTTACCCACAGGTCATGGGCACCATTCAAATCCCTCACTCAACTTCAGAGTGACAAAGTTTTTCTCATGGAAGGGAGACCAAGTTTTTGTAAAAACCCAAACACCACACTTTTCTTCTTGGATGCCACTACACTGATAGGTCAGATGGGTTTACTGTTGGAAATGTGGGCGTACTTGACTGTGCTGGTGACTTTGAGCCTCCGGATTCCAGGAGTGGGGAACTGGCGAGAGTTCAGATAGGAAATGTGCTGCATGGCCTTATCCAGCTCTCCAATGTCCTCCCCTTCCAAGGTCAGCACAGACTGATTTGGGTTTGCTTGGACCTGGAACCGTGCAAAGCAGAGAGAAGAGAGGAGTGAGGTTCCACTGTAGAAGTTACGAGTCACTAATGCTCTGGTTTGGGGTTAAACTGGTAAAATGGGAAGAAAAGCTCAAAAAATTCCAGTGAATGAAATCTTTCAAGCAATGATTGCGAAAAATAAAGACCTCATAAAACATTACACAACTTGGGTGACACTGGAGCACATCATGCTGAGTGAAATATCTCAGTCACAAAAGGACAAATACTATATAGCACCACTGTTATAAAGCAGGTCTGACATGGGGGGTTGGGTAGAGAACAGGGTAAGAGTGGACAATGAACATTTCATTGGAACAGATGTAGGAAAGAGCTGTCTAAAGGGAAATATATGATTATATGATTAGGCATTATACAAATGACAACAGCCAGAATAAGAGGTACATCATTGCAAAGAGGACTGGAGGAGCGGGGGAGATAGGTAATTGCACAACAATGAATAAATTTTTTTAAAAAAAAAATAGTGGCAAGCAACAAATGCTGGCGAGGATGTGGAGAAAATGGAACTCTTATTCACTGTTGGTGGGAATGTAAGATGGTGCAACCATTGTGGACTGCGGTGTGGTGCTTTCTCAAAACACTGCAAATAGAGATACCATTTGACCCAGCAATCCCATTACTGGGAATATACCCCAGAGAGACTATGTCTGCCGTCCAAGCAGATATACGCACACCCATGTTTACTGCAGCTTTGTTTACAACAGCAAAGAGTTGGAAGCAGCCTGAGGGCCCATCAACAAACGAATGGATAGAGAAGCTGTGGTATATCCACACAATGGAATACTATGCAGCACTGAAAAACAAGGAACTCATGCAATATTATTCAAAATGGGTGAGCCTGGAGGGCATTATGCTGAGTGAAATATCTCAGTCACAAAGGGACAAATACTGCATGGTGCCACTGTTATAGAATGGGTCTGACATCTGGGTGGGGGTATGACAGAAAAAACTGGATAAATTAAGTATATTGTATTGAAACAGATGAGGGAAAGAACAGATTAGAAGTGATATATGATTGAGTATTATGGCACAGGAATCCAGAATTAAGGTTGCATAGAGAAGTGTACTCAGGGTGGCGGATGGGGGGGGAGGGGACGTGGGAATTGTATACTAATGAAGGAATTTTTTTTTCCTCTTCGGAGGGGGAAGCGAGCTGGTGGGGAGGGGTGGGCAGGGAGAAAAGTGCGGCAATGAATAAATGGAAATCCAAAACCTCTGTAAATGTCTATTAATAATAATAATAACAATAAAAATTTAAAAAAATAGTGAACTGGGGGAGGGGGAAAGGAGGGAGAGGTGGGTAAAATGTGCAACAATAAATGAATGAAAATCTAACATCTCTGTAAATGTTCGTTAAAATTACAATTAAAATATTATTTTAAAAAAAGGAATGATCACCACTAATGTTCAGAAGAAATACAATCAAGATGCTCCCTTGAAACAAAGATGATGAACCCTGAGCTTGTGTTTTTAGACTCACCATGAGGAAAGACCATGCCAGAAAAGGACACCACGGGTGATGGAGTAAATGTGGGAAGTCCTCAACAAAATGAGCTGACCCAAGAGCCACAGCGATGGACTCCAACATGCCAATGACCATGGACACGGTGCAGGACCAGGGACACTTCATTCCGTGGTGCATGGATTATCATGGATTGGAGTAAACTCAATACAACTACAACCTCCCCCAACAGCCTCTATCATTCACTTGTAGTTTAAGAAGCTTACTATTGCCTGACAGATATATGCTAATAGCCTCTCTGCTCAGTGTTACCTTTACAACTTTGCTGTTGTCCTCAGGGACCTGTAGGTCCAACCCCTCTTTGCAGGTATACAGACAATCTATCACCTTCTTATCTGCCACTTTGCCAGAACGGATGGTCAGGCCAGCCAGATTTCCTCGGAAGAACTGGGTCATATGCAGGTCGCCACCTTTGGGGTAAGGGAAGAAAGTGAAAAGTTACAGGAGCAGCCAGGGTCTCTCACCTTGCTTGTCAATGCAGTGTTACCAGTGGTGGCAGCTTGATGTATGGACATGCAGGTTAGTTCATATCAAACCCTGTTAGCCTTGTAATCTACATGGAAGTGCAATGAGGAAATTAAACTGTGGATGGATCATGCATATGGCTTGGGGAAAGAGGAATGGGGGACCCTCACCTAAAGCTGCTATCCAAGAGGTCTCATGAGGCCACCTCATGTCTGGCCACCCCATGGGAAGGACAGGCTGAAGGAGCCCTTATCACCTGGTAAAAAGGGACCCTTTCTACCACTATCAGGTTTGGCAATCACACCCTCCCCTTTCAGCCAGGCATATCACACTGTAGCTGTTCTTTTGAGCTGAGCAGACTTGGGGAATATGCATACACTTGGGGATAAACCCAAACCACCATGCAGGAAGACTGAAGTGCTACTTGAAACCACCCCCTGCCCTTCAGAACCAGGCATCATGTTATTGCAGACCATCTACAAGTTTGTGAAATTAATCCTTCCTGTCTCTTCGGGGCTGAAGATGTTCCAAGGAAAGCCATAGTCTTAAAACATGGGCCTTGAGAGACTATGCCAAAGAGCCCCAAACAGGTAGAACTAAACCTTGTTCTTAAGCAGACAGAGAAATTTTCAGCAGTGGTCTCGCACCCTGATAAAGACCTTCTATGTCAACACCAGACGGTCAAGGTTTCCAAGAAATGTGTATTTAAAGTTAACACCAATCAAGACAGGCTATCGAGAAACAAGCCTTTCCTGTCTGGTGGTTCAGCCCCATGAGAACAGGAGGTGGACGGTCGGCCTGTCCTGTGAGCTAACACTGGGGAGCTTCATGCAGTGGAGCCAAGGTAAAATTTGATGATAGAAAAGAAAAAGAAAAAAAATCCCATTAGTGCGGTACATTAGTGAGCCATGTGCCCTCATTTTAGCCGAGATCCGAGTAGGTGGAGGGGATCCCGTGGGGCAATGGGAAGCACAATGCAGATATACACGGCAGCAGCTCAGATGGTGGTGGTGGGGGGGCCCAAATGCAACCTGGACATGTCATGCGCAACGTGGAATGAATCAATGTCTTTTTAAAGGAAATGTAAGAGTGAAGTGTAGGGAAAGGAGTCCAGCAACCTGCAGAGGTCACAGCCACAGGCTCGGTCTCATTGTCATTCTCAAGTCCTGAATACTCTGTGGAAAAGCAAGACAAACACAACAGAGAAGCACCAAGAGGTTAGGGTCTTCACACTGGACCAGGAATATCCAAGCTGACAGATACAAAACAGAGAAAAATGTCACCCCTTAGGGACAGACTCCACCCACGCAAAGCATGTACTTGATGACCCTGTCCCAAGTGGTCTCTTCCAGTCCCATGCGTCTTTGTGTTCTATTTTCTTCCATCTTCCCATGTCTGGCTTGCAGACACAGGTGCAGCAGAGGCAGAAGGAGGCAGTTTCATCTACCACCATCTGCATGATTCTTGTTGTTGTTGTTGTGTACCATCAAGTTGGAACTGACCCAAAGCTGCCCCTCTGGTGGGTTTTCAGAGGCAGGTAGTTACAGGAGGAGACTGTCCATTCTTCTCCAGGTAAGCAGCAGGTAGTCTTGAACTGTGGGCCTTTTGGATTACTACACAGCTTCTTGCAACTAGGCCATCAGAGCTCCCTGCATGGTTCTTACACTGAAATATAAGGAGGAAGGCATCCTCCGCCTGGAAGCGTTAGTGATAAGGTATATAACTATATGCTGGTTAGACTGAAATGTAGGTCCTAGGAAGGGAAAGAACGTTCTTTATTGCCATGAAGGCCCAAGGAAAATGACCACAGAACCATCAACATACTTAGTCCGCACTGTTTCAGGGGCACCATCCTTTTTTCCCCTTCCTCCTCTTCCTAGGCACCCCAGCACGTAGATAACCTCTGGCAGATAAGCCCCAGTTTGCTCTTTCACCCACACCACGTTGAGGGGCGATGTGTATACAGAGAAGGTACTTTGTCAGCCGAGGACAAGGCCCTACAGGGGACTGGATGGAGGTGGAATCTGACCCATTCCTCTTCATTCTAATGTCCCCAAGAGTAACAAAACTTCTGAAAATATGTCAGCTACCTGTTGAGAGTTTTAGCTCTGCACAAACCAGCTTTCATTTTTCTTTCCTCACTCACAGCAGTAGATTAGATGAAAAAAATCAGATAAAAGCTTATTTTACCGAATTCATCCAACTCCACCCTGTGCTACTGAACAGAATATCCCAAGAAGGCTGCCCCCATATACACATCAGAGCAAACACCAAATCCTAGACCACAGCAGGAGGGGCGTTCTGTGAGGATGGGGTGGGGCGGCTCACACCAGTGCCCCAGAAAGCCTGGAGAGTGGTCAATACGCCAAAGTATGTACTGTTTAGGGCTCAAAACAAGCTCCTATCTGATTTCTTTCTTCATGGTCACCTCTAAGTGACATACATTTTTAACCACTGCTGTAGCTCTGGGCCAGCGTCCCAAGCACAATGCCATGTCAGAAAGGCATGCTCTCAGTGGCTCAGGATAGAGCCTACTTTTCTGAGATGGAGAATTAGGGGAATTCTCTCTCTTGTAACCCCTGGGCTCAGGCAGCCCCAACCTGCTGCTCACCTGCTGGGCTACAGCCGTGAGGGGACTCACCTCAAGTGAGGCAGAAGGTATGCACAGGTGAAACTGGAGCATATGGCTAAGGGCCCACCTCCACATCCAGCACAAATGCTTTCTAGCATCGGCCAGAAAGAATGTTCCAATCCCATGGAAATGATGCGGGCACCTTCAGCTCAGGGACTTGTGATGAGTTAGTAACAAAAACAAAAGTGGTGTGTTCCACTGAGAAGAGAGTTCTCCTCACTATTAGTGGTATTTTTAGAGAATTTGATCAGATTGATTTGTGAATTTAGGCAGATTTTTCTGAATGAGCTTATCAAGAAGGTTGAGGAGAAAAAGGAGAGACGAGGCATTGCTATCGGATGACAGATTGTAATGGAAACAGAAATCTAAACTGGCGGGATTGCTTTATTTTAACCAAAGCAACAAAGCTACTGGAATGATACATACATACATACATACATACATACATACATACACACATATATATATCATACACATACACACACACACACACACACACACCCCTCCACAGTCAACACTCTTGGCACCAGCAGCCAGGAAATTAAAAGGCATACTGCGATGGGAAAGTCTGCTGCTAGGGACCTCTCCAGGGTACTGAAGAGCAATGGTGTCACTCTGGAGACTAAGGTGCATCCGATATAGGCCATGGTCTTTGCAATCACTTGTTATGCATCAGAGAGTTGGACAATGACTAGGGAGGAGAGAAGGAGAACTGATGCCTTTGAGCTGTGGTGCTGGAGAAGAGTACTGAATGTACCATGGAATGCTAAGAAAACAAACCCTAGAGAGGGTTAAACTGGGAGGCTCCTTGGAGGCAAGGATTCTGAGGCTCCATCAGACATGTTGCAAGAGGGACTGGTCCTTGGAGAGGGACATCATACCTGGGATGGTGGAGGGACAGCACAGGAGGGGAAGGCCCTCTATGAGGTGGACTGATTCAGTGACTGGGATAATTGGGGTGCATGTGTCGGAGACAGTACGATTGGCACAGCACAGAGCAGGATTTAGGGCTGTTGTACACAGGGTTGCTGTGAGTCACAAGCAACTTGATGGCACATAACAACAACAACAACAACACCACACACACACACACACTCACTCTCTCTCTCTCTTTCTCAGGTATATATTCTTTCAAATTACTCAGAGATTATGGTTTCACTTGAGAAGTAAACCTGAACTGAAACTTTAAGGACATCAGCTAGGAAAAGAGTACGTCCCTAAGCGCTTACTGTTCATTCTCTGCTCTCACCCATTTCCTCAGCTGTGGATCTGCTGTCACCAGACATAAATCTGGAAATCTGCTGACAGTTCTGAAACTCTTTGTCTCAACTCCTGTTCATGTGAAAGAATCCTCAGGGAAATGATGAAATTAAACAGTGAGAATTAGGCTCCAGCTCAGCAGCATCATGAGGATGGAGCTGAGACAGACAGCGTGTTGTTCTGTCATACGTGGGGTTGGTACGGGTCAGTGCCTCACCAATGGCACAAAACTACAGCAGGGATTCCTAACCTAACTCAAGGAGACTGATTCAATTGGGAGCAAACATACTCCAAGAGAAGTCCATGCCATGACACACAACACGACATAATCCATATAGTCAAGCAGAGGCTAGGATGGGTCTGTGAACTCGTGGAGAAGCTGAGAGGGGTGCGGGTGTCTGTGGATTTACATGGGGGAAATTCTGAAAATTAGCAGGCATTTATGTTTATGTTAAAATCAGCTAGTAGGTGTGAGGATAGTGTGTGGCTCAAACTGGAAACGACTCTTAGCTGACCCCTCAGGGAGTTTTCAGAGGCAGTAAACAGTACAGGAGATCACCCATCTATCTGCTAGGGAGCAGCTGGTAGATTTGAAGCACTTGCCTTTGAACTGGCAGTGTAACTCCGTATCACTAAGCCACGAGGGCTTACCAGCCACAGTGCAGCTAGCAGTAACTGTGACTTTGACACCGACAGAAAGCACAAAATAAATCTACAGTCATAACAGACGTCTTTTATGTTCATTACCTTGCTGCTGTATCTGGCTCTCCATGTGTTAATAAAGCAGCATATAAGTAGTCCCTGACTTAAAAAGTCCAAGTTACAACAAACTGCGTTTATGACTACCAGGTTTTTTTGTTTGTTTTTGTTGTTGTTGTTTGTTTGTTTTTTGAGAGGGAAGGACACCTTATCATTAGTATGTACTATATACAACATTACAATATAAATTTGTTGATGTCATCATCCTCAGGTATTCACTTGTGGTAAAAGTTCAGATTTAGAAAAACACTGATAATAAAAGGTTGTAATAATGGACTGTATTAATGTTTTAAAAATGTATTCAACTTATGTCAGAAGCCATTTTCGACAGCCTCATCTTCTTAATCTGGGACTACCTGCACAGTGACACTGTCTGTAGGAAGTGGACCTGCTAACCAAAAGCAGATCCTCTCTACTGGTTCAAATCCACTAAAGTCTCTGCGGCAGAAAGATGTGCAATCTTCTTGGTGACTTACTACCTTGGAAAATGATGGAAGGTCTGCTATGAGGCGATTCCCATGAATGAGTCACCTCTGTACTGCAACTTCACGTGTTTATTCTAGTATTTTGATAGCAGTGTTGCCTCTGTCAGTCTATGTGTTATATTCTATAGACTGAAAAATAAATTATTGCTGGGAGTCCATCAGCTTCTGTAAATGCCCACGGGGTCATCCACGGCACAGAAAGGGTTGAAAGTCCCTGGTCTCGAGACTGAGAGTTGGACCTCAAAGGCACAGGCCTCACGGGTTCAGTGCTAACTCCACGACTCATTGGCAGAGTGATGTTATTTCACTTCTCTGAGCCTCCATTTCTTCAGTTACAAAGTTGGAACAGTGAAAGTTTAGAGCTCTTGTTTGTTGTTGCTGTGTGCCAATAAAAAGCCTTCTATTTAATTGTTACTTAAAAAGATCAAATAAGGTAATATATGCAAAGTAATCCATATACCACCAACTTATGCTACTTAGTAACACGCACTGAATAGACACTTGCATTTCCTGAAACCCATGCTGCTTACAATTCTACATCTCACAAGGTAATGGCTCTCTCAGTTTGCACTAATTTTTCTAAAGGTACTGATAACACATTCTTTGAAGCAGACACCTCCATGGAGTCTTCTCAAAACTTATTGGTATTTGTGCCAAGAGCCCCTTCTAGTGTGGCCACTGGGCTACAAGCTCTGAGCAGTCTGGAAAAGTCCTTCAAGTCCGATGCACAGTTACTTTCCCACTTCTCAGAGGGCATTGTAAACTTTTCAGTAAACAGATTAATTAGTAAGCGGTCCTGTCTATGCTCTCCCTCTGTGCAATGCTCCCTCCCAGGTTCCCAGGAGGATTGATTGCATTCAGAGAGCCTGTCAATAGTGCTACTAGAGCATGGTGCCAGCAATGTCCCTGAAGTCTACACATGGGACAAAGACTGAAGAGACAAAAGAAAGGAAGGTCAAGGATGCATAGAGCTCGTGATACTCTCTTTCTACCAAGAGAAGTACAAAGACATGATTTAATCCTGACTTGGGAGGGGGAAGTTCAACATTACCTTGCCAACAAGCTCCAACCACGAGCTGGGTCTCTATCTTGGACGGATGGAGTGGGTAATCCTCGGTCACAGAGAAGGGCTCGTGAGGAACGCCGTCCAGGTAGAGTGTCACACTTGGGAACTCCACATTGAGGACGTAGTGGTGCCACTCCTCATCACAGACCTACGAGAGGCAAAGGGTCCATTAGGGGCATGAAAGGTCAACATTCTTATTGTCCCAAGACACAGCAATTGACACCAGCATATCATGGGCTCTGCTTCTAAAAGGGATTAAATTTTTTTTTAAAAAAATGTAATGATACAATAACATGTGAAGACATCTCCCAAAAAGGACCAGGGCACATTATCATTTCTAGAACACTTCAAATCTGGTCACGCTCCTCAGGCATCATAGTCCAAAAGGGTGATGCCAGAAAATTCTTTTATCGACAGGTTGGAGACTCATCCACTAATCTCCTTCAAAGGGTTTTGTCTGGGGATTTTTGTTTGTTTTTTGTTGTTGTTATTAAGAAGAAGAAACTCAAGAACAGAAAAGGGAAAAAGAGATGGTGTGTGTTGCAGTTCCTTTAGATATATTCTTTTTAACCATGTTGCAGTAAGGTTTAAGGGAGGCACAAGTCAGACAAAAAGCATGAACACCCGATCATGCTCATGAACCGTCAAAGGATCCAGGTATATTCTTGAAACAATTTGTTGTTTAAAATAAGGAGTTCTGGTGGTTTAGAGTAAGAAGGTGTGCTGCCAACACCAAGGCACACGGTTCAAATCCACCAGGTGCTCTTCAGGAGAAAGATGGGTGCTTTCCCCCTTTGTGCAATTTGCTACTTCTGAAAACTTGCTGGAGGGTCAGCTACGGGTTAGTTCCAACTCAATGGTACACAACAACATTGTTTAATATATCTTTCTTCTTTTAAAAAAAATAAAATAAAGCTGTCCAGGAAGAGTTCATTAGTCCAAACACCAAAGAAGAAAGAATTCTCATACTAAAAACGTATTTCTAAAGAAATGGCACACAAATTCATTTTATGATGACTGCTAAAAATACCAATTTTAAGGAAAAAAAACCCCAAACAAAATGAAATATCAATTTTAGTTTAAGTTTTTATTTCATACAAGGATGGGCAATCTCCTCCTGAGTGATTAACTGCCTCTGAAAACCCGCCAGAGGGTCAGCTACAAGTCAGTTCCAACTTGATGGAAAACAACAACAGATATAAGGGAAGTAATTCCTAGCATATCCATAATTTTAAAAAATTTGTAGGTTTCTATGAGACTAGACAAAAGAGAGGAAGACCCTCAACCAGACAGACTGACACAGTGACTGCAGCAATGTTGTTCACAGGGTCTCTATGAGTTGTACTAAACAACACCTAACAATAACAACGAGACTAGTAGAATAATGTATTTTTTTTAAAAACCTGTCATTTGAATGACCTTGGCTGACCCTTCAGTAGGTGGTAGGCTTGCAAAGGCAGTAAATCACACAGGCGTTGACTGCCCATCTTTCTCCCGTGGAGCAACTGCTGGTAGATTTGAACCGTATTATCTTTGCATAAGAGTACTGAACATACCATGGACCATCAGAAGAACATACAGGTCTGTGCTGGAGAGGATGAAACCAAAATTCTCCTTGGAGGGAAGGATACTGAAGCTTCATCTCATGTATTTTGGACATGTGGCCAGGAGGAACCAGTCCTTAGAGAAGGACATCACGCTTGGAAGAGTGGAGGAACAGTGCAGGAGAAGAAGACCCAGGTGAGATGGACTAACATAGTTACTGGTATAATGGGGGTAGGTACGTCAGGGTTAGTGAGACTGGCTCAGGATAGGACAGAGTTCAGAGCTATTGTACATATGTTCACTTCTGAGTAGTGGGTGATTCAATGGCACATAACAACAATTTGAATAAAGGTTTACAAAAATAAATTTTCATCCATATTTTTTTTATTTTACCCTGATTTATTTACAAAGTTTGAATACACTGTTTTTCACAAAAGATCCTTCCCATTTCCTTTACCTAACACACCCATCAAATTGTGCAACCCTATGATTAACAATCCCTCATCCTCATCCCTCTATTTCTACCCCCCCCCATCTTGGATCCTTATACTTATTCTACAATAATGGTTTTATACCGTTTTTGTCCTTGTGGGACTGAGTTAGTTCACTCAGCATAATGCTTTCCAGTCCCTCCTGAGTTAGGTAGTAATTTACAAAATGATTGCTCCTGCATGCTGCGTAGTATTCCATTGTAGGAATGTACCACAACTTATCAATCCACTGTTCGTGGTTGGACATCTGGGCTGTTTCCATGGCCTTGCAATGGTGAATAATGCTGCTATGAACACTGGTGTACAAGTTTCCATTTGAGCCTCAGTTCTCATTTTCTTGGGGTATATTCCAAGCAATGGAATAGCTGGATCATGGAATTTTTATGTTCAGCTTTTTGAGGAAGTGCCAAACTGCCTTCCAGAGTGGTTGTTCCGTTATACAATCCCATCAACAATGTTAAAGAGTGCCTATCTCACCACATCCTCTCCAACATTTATTACTTGCTGTGAAACTTTGCCACTGCTAAAAAATACGGAATGCTTCACGAATTTGTGTGTCATCCTTGCTCAAGGGCCATGCTAATCTTCTCTGTATCGTTCCAATTTTAGTATGTTCTGCCAAAGTGAGCACACATATTTTTCTGTAATATTAATACTTAATACTTACCCTGTAACTGCACTTTAACCACTTCCTCTTTGTAATTCTCATTTCCATTAATCCTTCTATAACTGTGTCTCCCTTTCCTTTATTAATACTGTGCTGGTCAACCCCTAATTGTACACTGCCTTTCCCTTTGCTCATTTTAGTATGTGTCTATTATGTATTTACTAATTTTTATTTCCTATGATCTCCCTTCCCATCCTGATAAGCATGGAAAATTATTCTATACGTAAAACTTCTCTTCAGCTCTTTATAATAGTGGTCTTACACAATATTTGTCCTTTTGTGACTAATTCATTTCATGCTGTTGTTATTATGCGCTATCGAGTTGGAAGCACCTCATAGCTGACCCTGCAACAGGTTTTCTGAGTCTGTAAACTGCGTGGGAGGTGACAGCTCATCTCTTTCCCATGGAGCAGCTAGTGGATTTGAACCACCTGCCTTTGGGTTGGCAGCACAACTCCTTACCAGTAGACTACCAGAGCTCCCTTCACTTATCTTAATGCCCTCTAAATGCATCCATGTTATGCAGTGCTTTGTGAATTCACCATTGTTATTGAGAGTTGTGCAGTGCTTCAGTGAGGGAGCTCTGGTGACTTAGCGGTAAGGAGTTGTGCTACCAACCCAACCCAAAGGCAGGCAGTTTGAACCCACTGTCTGCTCTGAGAAAGATAGACAATCTGCTCTACTGTGTGAATGCACCCCAGTTCTTTAACCATTTGCCCATTGACAGATACTTGAGTTGTTTCCATCTTTCTGTTAATACAAATAAATATTGCTGCAATAAACACAAATGAGTATTTATCTGTTCCCGTGGAAGTTCTTTCTCAAGTACTTGGTACTTAGATGGATCAGGTGGTATTTCTGTTATCAACTTTCTAAGCACCAATTGCTTTGCATAGTTGTTGTTATGTGCCATCGAGTTGAGTACAGCTCACAGTAATCCTATGACCAAAAGATCTGAACCCTGTTCTACCATTTGCCATCCTTGCACTTCCTGACACACAAGAACCTATTGCAGCAGTCACCGTGTCAATCCGCCTTATTGAGGGTCTTCCCCCTTCACCAACCCTCCACCCTTCCCAGCTTCATGTCCCTCTCCAAGGAATAACCCCTCCTAGCAACATGGCCAAAGTATGTGAGGTGAAGCCTCATCATTTTTGCCTCCAAAGAGCACTCCAGTTGCACCCTCTCCAAGAGGTATCTGTTCTTTCTCTTGCCTGTCCATGGGATATTCAGTGCTCTTCTCCAACACCACAGCTCAAAGGCATCAATTTCCATAGTAGTTGTGCCATTTTATATTCTCACCAGGAGACTATGAGAATTCCCATCTCTCTACACTCTCACCAGCATTTTGTCATTTGCTGTCTTGTTGAACTTTGTTATTATTGTTGGACTGAGCTGATATCTCATTACTCTTTTGACTGTTGTGGTTAGGTGCCACGAGTCAACTGTAACGCACAGCAACCCTGTGGACCATAGATCTGAGCCTTGCCCTACACTGCACCATTCTCATGATCTGTGTCATCGTCAAGTTTACTGCCTCAGTCACTGTGTCAATTCATCTTGTTGAGGGTCTTCCTTTCTTTCCCTGATGCTCCACTTTTCCCAGCATAATGACTCTTTCCAAGGACTGGTTCCTCCTGAAAATATGTCCAAAGTAAGTGAGATGAAACTTCACAAGCCTGGGCTCCAAAGAGAATTCTGGTAGCACTTTCTCCAAGACAGATTAGTTTGTTCTTTTGGCAGTCTGTAGTATATACAATACTTTTCACCAACATCACAATTCAAAGGCATAAATCCTCCTTCAATCATCCTTACTCACTGTCCAACTTTCAGATACACTGTTGTTACTGATTGCTGTCAAGTCGCGCATGACTCATAGTGACCCTATGAACAAAAGGCCTGAAGCCTTTCTCTAACTATCGTCATTTATCAAAGTTCCTAGAGTTACCAGAGGCATTTTGTTTAGGAAGTGGATGTCACTCCTGCTTCCAAAACCAAAGCAATAGCAGGATAGGAAGTAACCACAGCTTGCCTCAAATGTTCTTTAGTCTTTAAACTGACATCCTTGCTCTTTTGTTTTGACTGAAATAATGTATATAAGTACTGTTTACAAAATACCACGGTGGTGGTGTTATGTGCTGTCGAGTCGCTTGCGACTCTTAGCGACCCTATGTACAACAGCCCTAAACTCTGCTCTGTCCTGTGCCAATCGCACTGTCTCCGACACTCCCATCCCGATTTCCCCAGTCACTGAATCAAT